CATTTGTTTGTTTAACCGGCATAACATGAGTGCCAGGAAACCCAGGAAACTTCAAAATTATCGTTCGGTAATTAATCCGGAGAATTTCTTTAGGTTTTTTCTTAGTGCAATCAAATTCACCGAACCTTTTCACATTTTTGGCTAGTCGCGGACTTTCAAACGACTTTTCAATTGCCTTCCGATATATTAGCAAGTCAGTCACCTGACGATCGAGGTCGTCAATCCTGATATTTTTTTTTGTACTGGTTGATCGAAAATTCGAATGATTCTAATGATGCGGGAAATCCAAAATAGTCACACCTCCATTACTCTCGGCCTAATATTTATTCGTTTGATACACCACAATGACCAACAATTATTTGTCGTATCTTTCTCCGATGTGATTCGAAAGGTCCTTCACATGCACGCACATAGTTATTTATTTATTTGACACTCAGATGACCTTAGATAGTTCAGAATTACGAATGTTCTCGGTGAATTCAATAATTCTGTGCATACCCATAACCTATTATGACGTTGAGGAACCAACATACTCCCTTTTTTGGTCGGTCCTTCCTAAAAAATCACACCATCATTTTTTTTTTATTACTATTAAATTCGCAATTATGTCGGGGTTTCCCAGTAGTAGATACTAATCCTCATAATCTCCATTATTTATTTACATCTCTATAGCCAATCCTTTTGTTCTTGCTCATAAACAACTTCGCTATGATTTCTCTTTTAGTCCGTGACCTCCAAGCTTTTTCCGAATTTTAATTATACTCCTATACACTCACATCATATGACTATACCTAATTTATGTGATTATATAGGAGGAAATATAATTATAATCACACTCCTCTACAATCACCAATTTGGGTGGAACAAACCATGTGATTATATGGGAGGATGACTGTATAATATCTAATTACTACAAAATGCGATATATAACTACTACAAAGTGTGATATCTAACTACTAAAAAATGCGACAGTTAATTCATTAGAACCAATAGAGTTAGGAAAAAGGAGTGTAAAATAAAGACAAACTATTCCTAAATTAAGATATTTCTTTTTAGGCTGTGTGATAGATATTGCCTTAAAAGGGAAAAGCAATTAAATCTTACCTGAATTAAGTACTTGCCATAAAAGAGAAAGATACCAGGATCTCCAAAAAATAGGAAAGTAGAAAAGTTGTCAAGGAAGTATAATAATGGAAAGAGAAGGAAAAGAAGAATTAGAAAGAGTAACATTTCAACCAAGTTAATAATACATGTCTCAAGAAAGCCTTATTGAACTTACTGTAAATATGATGTGAGCTTATAACGGAAATAACAAACAACCTCAACAGCATATAAATTGGCTTCTTATAAGAAATGGTGCTTTAGCAGATCATGATGCCAGATACCATACTTGTGATCTGAACCTGGAAGCACTGATCACTGTGCTATAGACCTACAGGTTTATGTTTTTTTTATATAAATAAATAAAATAAAAAAATATAAAGTATAATATATATATAATCTTAATGGTTCTTTCAGAAAATTATATATATAATTAATTAATTAATAAAAAAAATAAAATAAAATATAAGACCTATAGATCTATATACTTCTCATATACACGAAATAAATTGCCTTTTTAGGAAATATTGAAAGAAAGTGACAAGAAAGTGAAAGGTACAATGGGAGTTACCCA